TTCCATGGAAAATATCGGGTTTCGGGTTGGGGTTTCGAAAATTCCTCGGGTCGTGTTTTAGGCGAAAAAAGTCCGGGTTTCTGATATCGGGTTTCGGGTAACTCTCCCATCCCTCCTCTACTTGTTAGAGAGAATGAGGGATTTTTTTTAATTTTTTGCGTTTTTTAATTTTGTGCGTTTTTTAATTTTTTAGGGGGTACACCCCGTTATACATCGAGCCCAGTATACCGCCGAGCTATAACTTCATTCAAAATTATCGAATCCGTTAGGCCCTGGTATGGTTCGATGCGCCTCGACGAGCTGAATCGAAACATACCAGGGCGTCCCGGATTCGACAATTTTGAACAAAGTTATAGCTCGGCGGTATACTGGGTTCATGGTACTGGCCTGCTCCCTTTTTTAGGATTTAAAGCCTTTATAAGGCAGATTCGAGATTTTATAAATCTTTAGCGGCAATCTTTTTCTGTCTCCATTTTTATAACAAGCTAAACTTTTCTTTTTCGGTGTCATTGTGATTTATTTTGGACTAGATAAATGATTGATATTTGCTGAATAATTTGATGCATAATATATTACACTACAGGGTGCGGCATAAGTAATTGCACACTTTTAAATTTCTTATAACTTTTTTTGTTGTCAATATTTTTAATTGATTTTAGGCTTATTTTTTAGCTTATTCAATTCTCTATTATGGCTAGTCAACGTGATTCTATAATCTCACTTTTTTGCAAAAAAATTCAGTCCGCAAAATTTCACCTCTTTTGGATGTCCCAAAAAGCACTGTACAATACACAATCAAAAAATTCTGATGAAAATTTTTTGGGTGAAAATTTTTTTAAATTAATTTAGTAATAATGGCACAACTAAGATCTTACTAAAAAGTGGAAGAGATCGTTCCGTAATCACTTCCGAGAATATCAAAATGATCAAAATGTGGGTGCATCTCAATTCTTGACCCTCCATGAGAAAATTGGCTCGTGACACCGGAATAAGTGAGATGACCGTCAGACGAATAGCTAAAAATAAACTATGGTTAATACCCTACAAAATCCAAAAAGCACAAATTCTAACAGAAAAAAACCAAAAAAATTAGGCTTGAAAGATGCAAACTGCTCCTTCAGTGGCACGCATGTCCGGACATTCCCTTCTCAGACGAAAAAATTTTTAAAATGAAAATCGTACACAACCATCAAAATTATAGAATCTGGACTATAGAATCTCCTCTTCCCGATGAGCTTATCAATCATTTCCAACATCCCCAATCTGTATGGTTTGGGCCGGTATTAGCGCGTCAGGCAAAAAACCCCTTATTTTCGTGGATCCTGGGGTAAAAGTCAACAAAGACTATTACTTGCGAGAAATTTTTCAGCGTGTTCTGAAGCCTCGATTCAAGAGCCATTTCGGTCGCAGAGTCTGGATTTTCCAACAGGACTCTGCTCCGGCACACAAGGCGAAAGAAGTTCAGGACTGGTGCAAGACCAATTTTCCTGGGTTCATTAGCGCTCGAGAATGGCCGCCATACTCCCCGGATTTAAACCCGATGAATTATTCATTTTGGTCTATTTTGGAGTCCAGGACCTGTGCTAAGCCACACAAAAGTTTGGAGTCTCTGCGCCACTCTCTCACCCGAGAGTGGCTCTTAATTACACTCAAGGAGGTGCGTGCTATTTGCGAAAATTTTTCTTCGCACCTTCGCCTCTGTATCAAAGGCAAGGGTCGGCATTTCGAAACTTCTTGATTATTATTGTTCCTTATTTAATTCTCTATCATTTGATTGTATTTCGATTTTATTTTATTGTGTTTTAATAAAGTTATGAGAGAAAACAAGTGTGCAATTACTTATGCCGCACCCTGTATGGTTGTTCATGACCCAAAAATTTTGATATTTTTTGCCAAAAATTAGCTGTCTTTATAAAATTTAAAAAACCGAAATTTTTTGAAAAAGAATGATTCTTTTAAAAATTCCCCAAATTAGAACCAGTATTTTGAAGAAAAAAGGATTTTTCTTCCATGCTTCGACTACAATTCAAGGTAATTTGTAGTTGCAAAATAATTAATATCATTTAAAATAACTTAATTTATATTTTAATGATATTTTCCGGTTTTTAATATTTATTAAAAAGTCTTTTTAATAATGATTAGCAAAGCTAGCAAAGGGTAAAAGTGGTTTGGTTTTATATAAATCAAAGGATACATTTGATTTCAAGCCGCACAGCAGACTAGCGCAGGCAAAAGAGAGGACATAGCGGAATTAAAATTTTGGTTAAGTGGATAAAAGCGCTGACTACAAAATCGTCTTAAAATTGGGTCTCGGGTTCGAACCTTTTCATGGTTAATTAATATTTTCTAATTAAATAAATAAAACATGAAATAAACATTTTAAATAATATTTTAAGAGTATAAAATTTTTTTAAACTTTTAAAAATAAAAACGGGTAAAATTTTAAAAAATCGGGTGTTATTTTTTAATGTAATTTTTTCAAATTTGGATTGATTTGGACAATTGAGGTGTCATTCGAAAGAGCTTTAAAAACTGAGTCGAACTAGGTGTGGAAGAAGTTGATCCGATTTCACGGGACCAAGTTACAGACTCCTGAAAGTTGAAAGCCCTCAGAGGGACCAAGCTGATTTTGGGGTTAAAAATTCGAATAAACAAATGTTTTTTTCTTTTTTTCCCAATTAAATCACCTTTGATAAAAGGATTTTATGTATTTTTCCTTCGCTTTTGTTGTTCTCACAGATTGATGAATTTTTGAACCGTACTCCACGAGAAAGTTTTTTAATTCGGAGGGTTTTAAAAATATAGACACATATTTGAGTAAACATATTTCATTGTTTTAAATTTCACTCAGAAAACATTTACAATTTAATTCAACATTTATTTAAAAAAATTTTTATAATTTAAAAATGACTCACCTTTACTTTCTTTTTACTAGTTTTCCATGTTTTTATTTGTAAAAAAAAAATTATTGTTTTCTATTACTCACGTTTATTTTATTATTTGTTCAATTGTGCCTTAAATGGTACATCTAAATTTTTTAAACAAAATATTTTTTATTTTACTTTACTTTTATAAATATTAAATTTTTAGTAAAGTGTTGAAAATTTCATTAAATTATACTAAAATCAAACAAATTAAATTACATTTCAAATTAAAAAAAAGTTTTCGTATCCTGATATATCCATAAAGTATCAATTTACCGTATTTTCTCGATTAATTCCCCTGTGGAATTATTTTTTCGACCCTTCCTTGGCATGGGGAATTATTCAAGGGTGAGGAATTATTCGAGTTTTGGCATTGAACGTGCATTAGGGTATTTGGTGGTGGGGAATTATTGTTTCACCTCAACTTTACGTAGGGAATTAATCGAGAGGGGGAATTATTCGAGGTAGGGGCATTAATCGAGAAAATACTATTCTCGTAATCCATATTAGCAATAAGCATGTTTGTGGCATGTTTTTGCATAATTTAAAAAGTTTTAAGGAAGATTAACTGATTTATAATATGCAAAATAGAAATTTAAAAATAACGAATACCGTTTAGTATAAAGGGATTTTAAGGACTTTATTTGGATTTATAGGTATATTAATACCAAATACCTAAAAAAGCCTTGTCGAACCCACCTATGTATATGTCCAAAATCCCCCACTCTTAACGGAAATGGATTCAAAAAATTATAAGAAATATATCTAATCCTAATATAAAATGCTAGAAATATTCTTAGATTTTATTATAATATTAAATTTTATTATAATTTTTAATACATATGTAAATTTTTGAAGTCATTAGATTCAACAGTTTTTTTAAATATTTGAGTCATTAATATATATTTATTATATTGATTACAATAAAAAGTAAAAATCTTTTGAGAACTTTTACTGCGAGAAAAGTTGATCTTTAAATAAATATTATCTTAAAAAGCAGACTTGTTGACTTTACAAACATACTCTTGAGTTAAATAGAAAATAGTATTCAACAATTTTTTTTTAATATTTGTTATTTTAATATTTATTTACATATGTATTACGTAAAAACTAAAATTCGATCTCTTACAATTTTATCAGCTATTTATTTAAATTGAAAAAAAATTTATCAATGTAAACATTTTGTGGATATAGTATAGTGTTCTAAAAGTTCGGGACGTGACATATGTCATTCGATTCCTCTCGATGAGTTGAGTCGAAAGGTACCACTCGCTCCTTTAGGAAATGATTCTAGAACGAGTTATAGGTCCTGAAAAAGTAATAATTTATTAAAAAAATATTCCACTTAAACCTTCACTCATTTAAAAGGCAAAATTTCAATTAAAATTAAAAAAAAAGAAATTTTTTATTTAAAAAATAATAATATCCTCAAGTATTTACTTTTTATAGAGAAACAAGTTTTACCATTTAATAAATAAAATAATAATGTTCAATGAGTGGATTTATTTTTAGGGAAAGTTTTTATTTCTCTTTTCTATGGCCAAATCGGATTAATACAATTATTTTTTATTTAATAAAAATAAATATTTAATTTAAATGTTTTGCTAGAATTTTATTTCATATTTTATTCTTTTAAATTTATAGAATAACTGTAATATGATTTTTAGATTATTAAAATTTTAATTTTGAATTTTTAGGGACCCTTTTAACTTTTAATAACCAGAACCTGCGATTTTTTATCGTACCGTATTCCGTATCCAAAATGCCGTTGGTAGTACCGTCCGGGCTCTATTAATAACCTCCATGATAGGGTTGCAAAATGGACCGACTCGGACTGAGAGATCGAGTCGAACCTAAGATATTAGGCCCGAAAGTCACTCGTACCGGCCCGACTCGATAAAAACAAGCCCAAAAATACCTCGACCGTCGGCCCGACTCGAAAACGGCAACCCTACTCCATAACTTCACTAAAATTTCTATTCTGTTATTTTGTCAAAATAACTTCCAATAAAATATTAATCAATTTTATCAGTCTTTTAAAATTAAATATTTTAATTTTACAGAATTTAGATAAAAATGTTGTTAAAGTATTTTTTAAATATTTATAAAAATTTTATAAAATTTATTTTAATTATATTTTTATTAATTAATTTATTCGCTCAAAAAGTAAATTTTATTACTTTGTTAAAAATTTAATTTTTTAAATATTTTTAGGTAATATCTGATAGACTTGGACACATAACTTGTTATAAAAATAATGGTTTTGATTTGGGGATTGAAGAAGTTTTTGAGTAAGAATATACCTAAATAATTTATTTTTTAAAAGGTAAGGTGCTCTCCTTCATTCCCTTCTAGCCCCACTTATTGTCTAAAAGCTAATGTTTACGATGGCCGAGTTGTGCGTGATTGTGCCACTTTAGCTCAGTGTCCTCAGGTGAATTATTCGAAATAACTAAAGTAACAGCTATTTCTTTAGGGGAATGCATGTTCTCCAATAAATTATGAAGAAGATGGTACTACTGGTAAAATACTTAAATTGTTATTTGGGTTATATAAAGTAAAGCCGCGAGCATTTGCGCTACCACAATTGCCGCGACTTTTGCGCCTACAATTATCCTTAAAAATTATAAGGATAATCATAGTCGAATCCCACTATAATGAGAAATATAGTGTAAGCTTTTTTCGGCCCCAAAGAGGTACATAATTGTGAGGTATAAATGTGGTTATTCTCGTATACTTTTTAACGGTCACGTCTGATCAAAAAGTCAACCGGTGCATACATATATGATACCGTTATTTTTATTTGTAATTTATATGCATGGCTATTACTTAGGGTTGTTTCCCGACGGGGGTGGGGCACGGCGAAGGTTTTTCGGGGAGGTAACGCCACATGGAGTAGGGAGGGGCAGCCCTAGTATTACGGAAACAAATAATTTTATTAAAAAATATTTAGGCAATTTTATTAATTTTTTCTTTCAGATTTTGTTTGTTGTTGTCAAGATGACTTATGTAATTCATCTATGAATGATTTTAAAAACAATTATTTACTATTATTTTCTATTCTAACGATCATAACATTTGTGATAACTTGCCAAATTATTTTTTAAATTAAAAAATATTTTTTAATAACATTTATAACATCTGATTTCTTTTTAATTTTCATTGACTCTGTTTCGTTCATAGACTAAACTTTTTAATGATGATTTACCTAGAGCATTTAAAACGCTTAGGCGGAGGTTAAACGATCTAAAACAGAGTATTAGTCGATGCCACGGTAGCTCAGTGGTATAGCTCCTATGTATACTTAAGTGGTGAGCGAAAGCGTCTAGCAATAATGCAAGGAGGAATCCTACCCCTTATACCTAAAGAAAATTACTACAGAAATTTCTTTTTAATATTTTATTAAATTTCTTTTTATGACAAATGAATGAGATCAATTATTAATTAATTTAAACCAAATTAAATTTTCTTAATTGAATTCGTATTTGTTGAAGGTATAGAAAAGTATTTATGTGTTAAAGCAACATCTGCATTAATTCTTTGTTGTGGATTACAAACAAGAAGACGCTTAAAAAGATTTATTTTTCTCAGAAAAATCATTTAAAAATAACCTTTAATAAATCTCTAGCTAAATCATTCGGAATAGGCATGGCTTTTTCCCAACAATTTGTTGCTCTATGATATGGTGGATAGGGCTTATACTCAGGTAAATGTGTCATTGTTGGCCATTCTAACTAGAAAATATTTTTTGTAAAAAATATTAGAAATTAATTTCAGTAAAGCAGCTGGGATATAGCTATTTCTCTCCTTTAGCTAGTGCAGAAGGTTATTCGGCGGCTGGGTGCGAACCAGCATCTCCAGTAGACCGGACTGATGTGTTATCCATTACACTACGCCGCCTACTGCACAGCCTTAGGAATTAAATAGCTATATGCTTTACAATTCTGATCTAATTATATTAAGGGATATCCGAAGATTTGTAAGGATTAAGTCAATATCGTGTTCACTCCTAAATCCTTCATATCCTTAGATATCTCCAGATAATCCTTTTAATCCTTCGATATCCCTTTTAATGCAGGTGTCATGAAATACAAAAGTAAAAAGTGATTAGATTGCAATAAAAGATCATTTGAAATAAGTTTTGAGCTGCCTTAGATTTGGGTTAAATGTTATCTTAATGTTAAATACATGATCGATCATACAGGATTGGTATCCCACTTAGTTCATCGGGTATCCCATAGAGATCGATCGCGGTTGGATATCGAAGTAAAAACCGCGATAATCGAGATTTTTGAGATCAGAAAATTATTGTTAGATTAAGAGAATAACGTAGGTAAAACCACAAAATAACTCAAGAACACTTTTGCTCATTTTTTTCAGAGACATCCTTACAATTACCGAGAATTAAAAATAATTTATTTTTTTATTAAATAAAATTACTTCATTAGGTGTACCCAATAATTTAAATATTCTCTTCAATTGATCATCAACATCAGCACCAGGGAAAAGAGGTTTACCACAATTGGCAATTTCTTTATTTTTTTTAAAATATTAAATTTATTTAATTTTGAAAGAAACCAGCAAAAATACATCCAGCAGACCAAATATCTATGGAAGTATTGTAAAGTTTTGCCCCAAAAAGAACGTCTGGTGGTCTATACCTTTAAATTCCCCCGTAAAATATTTTAATTTTAATAAAATTAGAGTTGGGCTGTATCGGGATTCCGAACTGAAATCGGTATCGTTATTTTGGATACCGGCTGGTATCGGGATATTTTGGCTAACGGCTCGGTACCCTATACTAAGCTAACGGTACCGAGGGTACCGATATATATAGGGTACCGAGGGTACTATATAATGGGTTGTCAGATAAATAATGAGCCCTTTGCGCATTTTTAGTCTTTTTTTATGTAAAGGTTTTAGTATTTTAGTTAGAATATATCGGTATAGGGTACCGAGCTAACGGCTCGGTACCCTATACCGAGCCGTTACCGGCTCGGTATCAGGATTGACCAAACCTGGTATCTAAATTCCGAATTTTTTAATAATACCGAAATCCAGATACCGATCGGTAAATCCCGATACACAATACCGAACCAACTCTAATTAAATTTAAAAAAAATTACCAAAGTGTTACAACTTCAGCACTATAGCAGCGAACCTTCAAAAGAAATTTTTTTTAATTTTAAAATATTTAGTACATAACATTTTATATTTTCTTAATTTAAATTTAAATTTTTTGCTATTTAAAAAAATTTACAGGAATTCCAAAAGGCCTTGCTAATCCAAAATCTGCCAATTTTAATTGGGGAGGGGAGTCTTTAATATTGTTGCTAATTAACAGATTCTGTATAAAAATAAATTAATTTTATGGCTGGATTTAAACAAAATTTTTATTTGCATTTAATTAAATAGATAAACGGTCGAGTTAAGCGTTTGATCTTCACGAAACAACAAAAAGTATAACTACCCTGGGTAATTGTTGTTACGACCATTCGCTGGAGGGGGTAATTAATCGAGAGGAGGTGCTTAATTTGGGGTATATCTTAATAGATCGAGTAGGAAATTGATTTGGCTTAAAATGTTTCAATAATTAAAAATGACAACGACTTTTTTGAATATTTTTAAAATTTGCGTAAGATCTCTCTTTGAGGTCTATAGAATCCTTACCAACGGGTATTTTCCGAGATATAAAAATGATTTATTTATATCGAGATTTCTCTTCCGTTTTATAATTTAGTAGTTAGAAATTTTTAAAATTCGGTCTTAATTAAATACCGTATATACTCTATCAATTTTCATCCCTCAAATAATTACCCCGCCTATCTCCAGCGAGAGGCTAAAATAATAATTGCCCCTTTAAAACTAGTCATAATTAGATTTTCTAAAATAACCTCTAATTTACCCCGCTTCTATTAAATCCCCCCTCAAGCGAGAGGTTGAAATAATAATTACCTAGGTTAATTAATAGAGTATATAAGGTAACTTTAACTTTAAAAGTCTCAATTCAATTTTGCAAATTCCATAAATTACTTGTGGCTTTAAATCTCTGTGTAAAACATTATGGGCATGACAATAACTTAATCCAGCCAAAAGTTGTTGCATTAATGAACGAATAATCTTTTAAATTATTTTTTAAATTTATGTTTAAAATAAACCTTCTCGTCAATATGTCCATTTAATGTATCAAAAAATTTTCTCAAATCGAGATCACTAAAAATATTAAAAAGAATTTTTATAAAAATAATTATTTTGTTAATTTTAGCTTTGGAAAAGCTCGATACTGTCTTCTAAAAAACAATTTCAGTTAAAAAGTATATTTGTCAAAAATGTGTTTAAGATATTCCTGGTCACTAAGGTTGGCGGATCCGAATCCGGATATCCGGAGATTAAATTAAGTCGGATTTTTTGATTTTTGTGTCAAGTTCAATCAAGGCTCGATGGTTCTACATTTTTATGTAAAGATTGACCATTTTTACACATTTTCCAAAAAAATTGACTGGAGGAGGGGGGGAAGTAAATAAATACCGCATTATTTCTATTATAAAAGTTACTGCATTCGTTACTTGTTTTTCTTAATGTATTTAATCCCTAAGCTTTGGATATACCTAATACTATAAATATGTTTCTTATTTTTAAAATTAATTTAAAAAAATTGCCAACCAAAATTCAAAAACTAAATTCAACGTTTTGTCTGTATGTATAACATCATTTAATCTAACAACATTTCCATGTCTAAGCTCACGTAAAAGACAAATCTCACGTAATGCAGATGAAGGAACACCCTTAAATTTTTAATATTTTGAGAAAGAAAAAAGGGGGTATACGAAATTCAATTTTACCGAAATTTGTTCATCAAAAATACTTATTTAATATGAAGAGATTATTACGTTACTAATGGATCTTATTTTTTTAATTCATTTTTTAAATAATTTCCTTTTTTTTGCTTTCTAGAACCGAGAAACAAGCCTGATCCATTCCTAGCTCTAGTCTCTTTTTTAACAATAAATTATTTCTAAATTTTGGAAAATAAAAAGGGAGACTAAACATCATTATCAAAAAAATTTCTGTATTTTCAAAACAATCTCTAGGGCTTTATTTACAACCACAATTCAAGTGGATAGTCTAATGTGTTAAATAGGGTCCGGATTTTATTGAAATAAAATATTCTTATGCAAAGACACTTTGTCAAAAGAAGCCCAAATATGCAATTATTTTTGCTATATTTTGATTTTTGACAAAGATAAATTTCAATTTATTGTAAGCATATACATAGCTATTTAATTCCTAAGACTATGCAGCAGGCGGTGTTGTGTAAAGATAACACATCAGTTAAGTCTGATGAAGATGCTGATTCGCTCCCAGCCGCCGAATAACCTTTTGCAATAGCTAAAGGAGAGAAATAGCCCAGCTGCTTTATTTTAATATTTTGGCAATTTTCCAGTTATTTCAATATTTTATGGCCATATTAAAATTTCAATTTATTATTTGACATTTCTTCACTAATTTTGTTTCAATAAAATGCCGGACCCTGGTGATAATTATATGTATTTTTATTAAATTAATTAACCACGATTGACTTTCAAAATAATTTTTTGAACAAAAAACCTCATCTTCATCATCCAATTTAACAATTTTTAAAGCAACAATTTGCCCATTTTCTTTACTTTTTGCTTTAAAAACCTTTAAATTAACAAAAAATTTCATTCCAAAATTCGAAAAGAAAACCGTTCCATAAGTTCCTTCTCCAATTTTCCCTAACATTTCATAATTATTTGACATTTCTTCACTAAATGTTTCCATTATTTTTAAATTTTAAATTAATTTACTTAAAAATAAATTTTAAATTATTTATAAAAATTTTTAAATAAACATTTTTATTAATATTAAGCAAAATTAAAAATATTTTTTTATTTTTTTATCGATTCAGCTTTTGGAAGAAATGTTGTCCTTTTTATTTATTTTTTTTACTAGAGTAAGAAATTCCCCTGCTATAATTTCAAGCATAAAGAGAGACAAGAGAAACACAACATTATTTATTTTTATATTGGTACTGGAATAATTTTATACTTGGACCCCCTTGTAAATTAGGGTTATCTGATCCGGATCCGAAAAAATATCGGATATCCGAGGATTTCCAACTATCCGACAACCCTATTGTAAATCCACCATTGGGACCGAGGAAAATTTATTTACAAAAAAGGTGTATTAGGTACTGAATTTATGTTAAAACGAGGTATTTAATCAAAAGAATTTCTGGTTATTTAATATCGGTTTTTAGTTAAAGACTGTAACCGGGTTGCGAGTTGAGCCAATGTTTCTACATTGGCTTGGGCACTTTAGGATACGTTTTTAATGGATATTTTTGCAGTTTGGATACTTCCGTGCATATAGTTGCATAGGGATCAACCCAGAAGGGCAACCTCAGATATTTGGACGGATAAAGGGTATTCGTGCGGATTAGGAAGGATGTCTGAGAATTAATGCGGATAAAGAAGGATTAGTGCGGATTATGATGGATTTGGTGGGATTAAGGACGATTAAAGGATAAAAGACGGTAATTTTTTCGTTCAACTATCAGATAAATCAAAAGCGAGCAGACCAGCTTATTTTTAATCTCTAATACACTTTATCCGCCCAAATATCTGAGGTTGACCTTCTGGTTCAGTTGACCACTATGGATTTGACCTTCTGGGTCAGTTGACATCTAGGGTGTTGATCTTCTGGGTTTCGACCTTCTGGTTTGGACCCGTTGCATGCCGTTTAATGTGTATTAATCCTCAAATAATTACCCAACTTCAGTTGATTACCCCCACCAATGATAGGTTTAAACAATAATTACCCCCAATCAAATGCCCTACCACATATGTACATATACAAATCTCGAATAAACCCCTAAATCCCTTCCCTCTATTAATGACTCCTTTTAATTATATGTTTTTTTAAATTACACAATAAGTTTAATTGTTTTTAAATTAAATTGAACAAATTAGTCTGAAAAAAAACATTTTTTTTTAATTTTTAAAAATTTTTAATTGATTATTTGCCCAATCATTTACCAATAATCATATGTTTGACAGCTCTTAAAAATTAAAAATTATGGCTATTGCTTAAAATAAATAAATTCATTCATTTCCCTTCATTCATTACCGTAATTCCCTAATTCTTCCCCTTAATTTATTTCTAAGAAAAAATTTAAAAAACATTTTATTTTTAAATAAAAATTAAATTTACAAATTATAAAATAAAAACTCTTCTTTTCTGGACCGGTCAGAGCTGGCCTGACTTTCTTGATTAATCCCGTTTGGAAATAGGAAATCGCAAAAACCCCGGGTTGGAGCGTCAGGTCCCAAACCTTTAAAAATCTTGCGACAAAGAAAACCCAAAGAAAAATTTATTTTTCTGATAAAAAGATTATTTTTTATAAATAAACATTTAATTTATAAAATGTAATGATTTAAATTTAAACATAAAAAATTAAAACATAAAACAGTGAAAAAAACATTTTTATATTTCAAAATTTTTAATTGATTAATTACACAATCATTTACTCACATGCCAATAATCATGCGTTTGACAGCTTGCCTTTCATTCACTCCCCTCATTCCTTAATTTATTGCCTTTATTTTACCTTTAAGTAAAATTAAATTAAAAAAAATATTTTTAAATAAAAATTAATTTATAAATTATAAAATAAAAAATAAAGCAAATGTTTTTTCCTGAATGTTGAGGGGGAGTTTGGATACTATAATAGATATATTTATATCAATCAGAAAAGCTTTTCATAGTTTTTTCTTCTTTCCTGGACCGGAAAGAAGATTAACCCTGTCCGGAAATAGGAAATCGCAAAAATAGGAAATCGTCAGGTCCAAACCCTGTAAAAATCCTGCGTCAAAGAAAACTTGAAACTCAAAGAAAAATTTATTTTTCTGACAGAAAAGATAGTTTTTTTATGAATAAACATTTTATAATCGAAAATGATTTGAAATGAAAATTGTTGTGTCCATACTTGCAGAAAGAATAATAAATAAAAAATAACCCGCATTGCGTTGGATGGTGGCAAAGTCGGTTGTGCTTCGGTTTTGGGCCCTTTCCGCGATGGTTCAATTCCGTCTCCCGTCATATGAATTTTTCCACAGCATGCATGAACACCGTATATAATAAAAATAAAAATTAAACCTTTATATTTTCAGATTATTTTAAATATTTTCAACAAAAAGTTTAAAAAAAACTGTAAATTAAACAAAAAATGAAAGTAGCAATTTTATTAGTATTTTTGCTTTTCTTGATTTTTACTTGTTTTGTTTCTTCAACCCGTCCAAATACAAAGCACTACGAACAATTAAATCCAACAAAACCTGATACCCAAACAGAAGATACCGCATTTGGTATGACAAGTCAATCTCCACAAAAGGATAAGATCTTCCTATATGTATCTGAAAACTGTACGGTCTTCACTGTTGAATTTTGTTTTTAACTATTTTTAAAATTTTAGTCTCCGAAATTCATTTAAAAGTGATTATAACAGAACGAATGAAATTAATTTTTGAAATAATTTTTAAAGAAAATAAAAAACAGTAAATACCATTCAATAAAGTTTGAACGAACAAAAATAGTTTAATTTAAAATAATATTATGAACCATATAAATAATTTCTATAAAAAAATTTTTATTTAACAGGAGGAAATCTGGAACTGAATCTTTTATAGCTAGATGAACATATTCACCAAATTGTGTGACTTATACATATTAACAACATATGTAAACGTTATAGAAATTTTGACCCTATACGAAGATCGTGCCGGCTTGATATTTTTTCCTTACTTTTTTGAGTGGCTCGGAATGGTCATATTTCTCTTCATTTTTGATGTTTGTGATTTTGCCGTAAGGAAAAATGGTGACTTATTTCTTGCTATCATTCCCTATATTTTTGTTAATTCTGGATGCTCGCACGGACGAAGACGGACAGACAAAACACGGACGGACACAGACAGTCAAAACACGGACGGACTCGGACAGACATCAAAATTTAATATTTTTCTTTGTTTTTCCTTATAGCAAACATCACAAACATAAAAACTTGGGAAAAATACCCAGTAAATAAGGAAAAAATTTCAAGCCGGCACGATCTGCGTATAGAGCCGAAATTTTAGAACTTTTTTTTTATTTTTAAAATTTTGATCAATTCCTGTTGGAATTCATTTAAGCATATTTCTTTAAATTTGTCATTCGTAAATTTTATTTAAAATGTTAGATAAATTTAAATTAGTATTTGATTTATAAGTTAAACAACATTCTTCCATAAATTGTCATAAGAGATTTGAAATTCTTAATCAAACTTATTTTGTGTCACAAAATAACAAGCTACCTATATTTTATTTTAATTTAAAAATTTTGACAAAATGTCCTGTCTCGGGAGAAAAAGCTTTAATAAAGTAGAGTGGCCGAATTCATCGCAGAGATTAGCAGAAGATTGCTTGGGATTTATCTAGAAAATTCTTCAAAATAATATTGTTATCACCTCAACATCCCACCATGACTGGCAGTTTTCATTTTTGCTATGCTAGCTTTGCAAGCACATTTTAAATTTTTGTATTATTTTTGCTTGAATGGTAATTTATAAAATTATATAGTTATTTTAAATGATTTTTTAAATAAAATCCAATTAATGAAAAATAAATTTTAATATTACTCCTACAATAATTTTAATTAACTAATGTAATATAATTATTTTTTAATTAGGCAGGAAAGTTTCTAAGTGATATCTCCAATACTGGATCGAAAGGATATAATAAAATTAAATGTTTAACTTTAATGTTTATTAACTTGATTTTATTTTAAATAAATTTATTTTTATTTATTTAAATTATTTGTCAATATCACCTGTCTATGAAATGCATGTGATGTTTATTATTGTATATCAGATGATCGAAATGCGTGATTGCCTTCCTTTTTGCTTTTTTTCATTAAATAAAAACAACATCTGTATTTTCACTAATAGTGCGACTGTCTATATTAGACCGACCCCTTCTAATAAACCGACCCCCTAGAAGATAGTTGAAAAATAAACCGACCGGTCGCACTATTAGGAAAATACGGTATATAAATTTAAAAAAATATTTAAATAAATTACAGTAAGATTTTGATTTTAAATATCCCAGGTTTAAATACCACCTTGCTTTCATATACATTTTTTTATTTGATTGGGGGAGACAGCTACCTAACAAATAAGTGATAGCAATTTTAGAAACCATAATAGAGTTCAGCGGTATCGGATTTTGGAATGGTAATACCGATCCCGAATCTCGACACGGGATCGGGATTGGCCGAAATTGGGATTCAAAAACCCGGGATAATCCCGCCGATCCCGACCGTGATCCCTATCCCGCTGAACTCTACTCTAATTTTTAATATAAATGATTACTTATTTTTTGCGCATAAACTCGTTATTCAATACACTGCCGGAATTTTTATTTACATACTATAAGCAAAATTTTCTAAAAAAAAACAATAGGTGTGTAAACTAGAGAAAGGTTCCTTCCGCCTTCCGTAGAATTTCGCTTTTTTCTCCTTTCCGCTTCTTATCTGCTCTTTAATAATGGCCGTTTGTGTTATGCTATGGATTACTCTGGGAACTTCACTTGACTTAGCGCAATGTTTATAGCAACATTATTCCTCACATGATTTCAGAATTATCCCGTCTTACAATAAGAAAATTAGAGGAAGATAAAAGAATTTGTTGGCATATAAAGGATAACTCCTTTTTTTGATATTGATCTTTAACTTTCTTTTATAAACAATGAACTTACTTACTATGTTTTTAAAAATTACTCAACAAATTCAATTATTTTGAAATAAAAAAAAATATTTTTTTATTTTTCAAAATTTTTAATTGATTAATTACCCAAGCATTTACCCACATGCCAATCATACATTTGTATAGCCGCTTCTTAAGATAGATCAGATTCATCCCCTAGCTTTATTTAATTAATTTACCTCTAAGTAAAAATCATTTAAAAAATTTATTTTTAAATAGGTAAAAATTAAATTTATAAATTAATAAATAAAGCAAATCTATTTTTCCTGAATATTGAGGTGGAATTTGAATACTAGATATATTTATCAACCAGAAAATCTTTTCATAATTTCGGATAAAAAGAGTTGCCATTTGAGATGGCGTTTTTTAAAACACTAAATAATATCTACCGTATTTTCTCGATTAATTCCCCTGGGGAATTATTTTTTCAGCCCTTCCTTGGCATGGGGAATTAATAGAGGGAGGGGAATTATTCGAGTTTTGGCATTTGAACGTGCAGTTGGGTCTTTGGGGGTGGGGAATTCTTGTTTCAACCCAACTCTAGCATGGGGAATTAATCGAGAGGGTGAGTTATTCGAGGGAGGGGAATTAAACGAGTAAATACGGTATTTCCACTAGGCATATAATTTGCCTATCTCTTCCGCTTTCGCCTTCCACAGAATTACGGTTTTTTGAGCTGAATTACGAATTTTTGGCGTTTTTGATAAATTTTAGATAAAATTTTTAAATAAAACTCTCAATGCTTTGTTAATTGATAGTTGAAACTTGTATTTAGAAGTTGAGTTGTAATTAAAGATTAAAATCATTCAAAATATAGATAATATCCCCAATTTTCTTTTATTTTAGTATGAAAATTTATTTTCATATTTTACTTTTTATTCTTTTGCTTTATTTTATTAATGCTAGTCATGATGAAAATCGTCGAAATCGTCAGCATCGACGTAACCGTGCTGGTAATCATAATCCCGTTAGTGCATTTAGTGTTTTTACTGGCCAAGCTTCTCGTCAAGACACTTTTAATTATGTTTTAGGTAAATTTGTTAATTAAAATTAACAAATTTAAAATCTTTTAGGAAGACATAACCGTGATAGTGACACTAATTCCGTTAGTCCATGGAGTGTTTTTACTGGCCAAGCTTCTCGTCAAGACACTCAAAATTATGCCTTAGGTAATTTTTAATTAAAATTGGCAAATAGAAAAATCTTTTAGGGAATTATGCACCCACTAATCAACGACCTAACCGCAATCGTAACAATCAACATGAAGTAGTTGATGGGCATTCTACAACTGCTGAATTTGGTGATACGACGGGTAATAATTTAAAATTTTAAAAAGTCGGAAAATTTTAAATATTCTATTCCTTTCTGCAGTTTCCAAAAATTAAATAAAATTAGGTTACCATGAAGTAAATTATAGAAAATATTTTTTATAAAATTATTAATTAACTATATATAAAATTATTAATTAACTATATATAAAATTATTAATTAACTATATATAAAATTATTAATTAACTATATATAAAATTATTGGCACTATATGAAAGGAGGTCGATAATCGTTTTTTTCATTACTTTTTTCATTAACTTCTTTCCTTCCTTAATTATAAATAATGGTCAGTCTTTTCTTTCTCGTTCACTTCCACTCTTTTTACCTGTGGCATATTCAAATGAGGACAGACAAAACTCGAGTTTTCTGCTCGTCTTCGTCCGTGTTTTGTCTGTCTGTTTCCGTCCGTGTTGGCTCTGCCCGTCTTCGTCCGTGCTGGCTTTGATCGAGTACGTCCGAGTTCTGTCTGTCTGTGTCCGTCCGTGTTTGTCTGTCCGAGTCGACACGAAAAGAAAACAGGAGACTTTGTGTCTCTTTCATTTCTTTTGATTATGCCACAGGCAAATATAATGGAATTGAACAAGGAGTAAAATGCTGACCATTCTGTCATATCAAGGAAGGAAAAAAGTAATAGAAAAAGTAATGAAAAAAAACGATTATCGACCTCCTTTCATATAGTGCCAAATTATTAATTAACTTTTTTTATTCAATTCCCTAAAAATTATACATTTATAGACCAAAATCTACTTGATAATTTTAATTCTTTTACTATTGATGATATTGAAAACAATTCTTATGCAACCCATAATCCGGGAGGTAAAACCAATCCTTTTATTATTTTCCATATTTTAAATGTTAGATTATACTCACAATGCTGAAACTTCACAAAATGTTCCACGTGGACAACACGGTATTTTTCCTTATCTAGAAATATGGCTTTATTTCAAGAAATAAATATGTTATATTTTCTTTATTTGTCATAATTTAGGCCGTAGAAGTCATCGAAGAAACAATCACCCTGGTATAAATAAATATTTTTTAAATATGTTACTTAATATAACTCTTAATACAATTTAAAAATATTTATATAATTAATTTTAATTAAATTGAGAAAATAAAGTTTAAAACATTTCCCCATGTCAAAAGTCAAAAATTAAATAGCTAGCTTTAACGGTGACTATAAAATATATTACTATACTTTTTTGTAAAATCTTATCTCAAATGTCAGGTATGGAAGGTGCTTTTATCTATAATGTTCCAACACCTCCAAGAGGTATATTCTAAAAATTTATTAATACTTATTTTTAAAATATTTTTTCAAAAAAATCCAA